CAACGGCAATTTCGCTACTTATTCCGGTAGCTTGCAACGCCGTTTATGGATGCTGACTTGCCATAAAACCCCCCTAATTGTGCGGGCAGTGGCCCGAGTGGAAACCTCTTTGGCTTTCCTATCTTAGCTAGCGTAGGCGTTGAATAAGTGTAAGAGCTAATCTATTTTCTTGTTAGGAATGCTGCAGCATGCCTGCGACCTGACTTATTTTTTGAAGCACTGGAAGTGAATGCTAACCGGCTTCAAAATCGTACTGCTGATGGAGTACTAAAGGCCTTATTCTCCCCGTCTACAGCAATACAAACCAGACCTTTTTTTCCTTTTCTCGTCTCCTTTGCAGCCTGCATTCTCTTTCCAACTTAGTCTCCTTGTGTTACTCTTGTTTCTCTTCACCCTTAGACACCCAACTATAGGCGCATACTCTGTTCCTATTAGCTCTGCATGTACTTGCCTTACCTCTCTCTCACGCTTCCTTTTTGCATATACTGCGCGACATGCGACAATCCTTATCCGTTTAAAGTTCTTTCAACAACAGCGATTACTCTGCATCTGACACAGACTATAATGTAGAGCTGGATACGGATCTGATAGACGTAGACGAATTTGCTAACAAAAATGAAAAGAATGAAGTATGGGTCTTCTCTAACGACGATTATCCGCCTGAATACTACCTTTAGTAACTAGAGAATTTCAACGAATAGGAATACGTTAAAGAAGACTATAAGGATAGTAGTACTCGCTTGCTTAATCGTATGGAAGATCAGTGGAACTAGTAGGTCTCCTATCCCCTTGAAGCTTGCGCTAGATCCTATTGACTGACTTAGCATAGGTGCTGGACGTACCTTGAGAAAGACTATTACCGTGCTTATGTAACTGTATCGGTTAGAACTTTGTATATATTCTTTAACTAGCTACTTTGCTAGCGCTAGGGAAAAGGCGGGAGGAAACGCCGAGGAACTAAGTTCTCTAGTTCGCTAGGAACGTATTGGAAGGTTTTCCGGCTTGTGTACGAAAGAGTAACTGGTGTGAAACTAGACGGAAAGATGAATTGGAGCATATATAAGGTACAGTGACTTAGCTTTCTAATTACATTCTTACGTGGGTATATATATCTAACGTAACTAATAGGTATTAAGGAAGCTAGCGAAGAAGCACGATCTAAAGAAGATCGGCTGAGATAAAGCCTGTATGTATGTCGAGGATCTGGCTTAAGTTCTGCAAACTAATCTAGCAACAACTAAAAAGAGATATCCTTACGGTCGCTATAGGATATAAGCCTAGCTCTATTTATAACTTGGCGGGTTTATAGCGAACTGGCCCCAGGCTCTCCTTAGTCTCTGTTATTGCTATATATAAGTTACACTTCTACGTGATCCTGAGGGTGGTCCTTATTGAGTACTGCTAGAGTTTACTTTTGAATTTATAAAGGAGTTTCTTAGTATTAAAGATCTGTACGTTATTATTGTGTATAAGAAAATTATGCGCTGATAGAATCGTTCTTAAGGAATATATTTCCCCTTCCTGAGATTATGTTCGATTAGACGCTCCTCTTTAGTCCTTACGTCTTCCTCCTTGGCCTGCTCTTCCGCGATTGGGCTTTTGTAGCTAATAACCTAACCTTGCTGGAGGAATTGAGTAGACTTAAGATTCCGTTAGGCCGCAATGAGCTCCTATTACGCCTGAATTGGACGTTGGACGATATTCCTATGTTTTGGAAAGCGGTGCAGACTCTGAATGGTTAGGATGTCTCCCCTACTGAACCTCTCCCCTACTCCACCCTACTTCTATGGATCTGGACTTTGGGTGAGATCACGGGATTTGCTTAAGTTACCTATCCTTATTCGCTGAGATACGCTGGAGGGAAGGCGTTTAACGAGAATAGTAAGTCTAATTATTTAATATAAGTTGTGTAATGCTGGATATAGTCTTAACGCACCTTGTAGGTAATATTAGTGAGGCTATACAGAACCTGATAATGGGTTATGCTAGCATCGCGACATTTTTGAAGCATTACCTTTCGCGACGTATTACAGTTGATACGCAGGCTGTTGTAAGAGGTATTTAGCCCTAAGCAGCCCTTATGCGGTCGGCTTGTACTATGAGCCGCT